CTTTATAACACCATCTTCCACCTCATAGCTTTAATTCTATGTCAACATTAATTTGTTTCTAAGACATGCAAAGGTGTGTTTTTTGGCTTTTTTCAGAGCTTCCCTTCCATTGCATGTTTGTCGTTCTTTTAATTTGAGCAGGTAAATAGGATGATCTGTCAGAAAATTCAAGTTTATACACTTGAAAAAAATAATGAAGCTGTTTTTTTCAATTTTAAACATCCTAATAAACTGGCAAATGGAACAATCTGCTAAATTAGGGGAAATACACTAATTTCTAGCAAAAAATTATTAATATTTTAATTTTTTGCAGTGCAGATATCCTTCTTCCTTTCAAGTCTTACTCTACTTTATAGCGAAGCCCAAACAGAGCAATCTTGCTGTAGGATCCTGACAACATGACTTTGTTTTCAACTTGAGGACGGTATGTTTAGACTAATGTAAAGTGTTAGTCTTCTACATTATGTGAAAGAAGAGGTTAGACATATCCATGATTTGGTCTCATTTGACCATCTCACTTTCTTCTGCATATTTTTTATGCTTTTATGCTGTTTTTTTTTTACATTACATTATGCAATGTATTAAGCATATTTCTTTTGATTTTCTTCCAACAATGTTTTTCAATATTTGAAAAACACTGATATTTGCAGAGTACAAAACAGAGTATTTACCTGTTAACATATTCTCCTATTTATAATCTGGCTATCCGCAGGTTCTGCAAAATCATTTATTGCATCACTTTCTTTTATTAGATCTGCATTTTACATTTGTTTTTGTATAAAACCTGAAGTGCTGTGCACTATGTTTAAATTTGGGGTAGCGCTATATGACCAAACTTGTTTAAAAATTGACAGAAACTTTGTCCCTGAGCTGTCTTCGGCGTTCCCCGGTCTTCATGAGGATGTTTGTATAACCTAAAGAACCCTTTGAGGTTTTCACTGCGCAAAACTAAAATAACGTCATACAGATGGATGTTATTGACTAGTTTTACAGACAGCTAATTTCACTTAATGTTATTTAGGGATGTCAGAGTAAGTGGGTAGAATACATATGAGCACAGCCCTTTATTAGATTATATTTGTAAAATTAGTTTGAAACTATTGTATAATTTAACTTTACATCAATTTAAATATAAATCACATCAACACATAAAATTTAATTCAGATACAATGACATTTTTGCGTTAATTAGACAAAGTATAAAACGGTTAAAAGGGGATAAATAGCTTGGTAAAGTATGATACATTTTTAGTGAGGGTTGAGAATGTGAAAAATGCTCATCTTAGATACTCATGTAGTTTATGCACAGAGACAAACTCTAAAATTTATGCTCAGAAAGAGAAATCATTTTAACGAGTCTACTTATAAATCTAACTATACTATCTTTTTGCCTTTTTTTCAGCCCATTAAAGCCTTTAATCCATCTTCATTTAGCTTTGATTAGATTCAGTAAGTGTCTAATTAGCCTTCACTCAATCTGGAATTTTATTTACTGACAATACATAAACTTCAAGCTAGGAATCAAGATGTTTGCTATTATAGGATGTTTTTTTTTTTTTCATTAGACAGCTTTCTGGGCCCTATCAGTTCTACCAAGTTCTACTGTACTTTATCTCAAAGTATAAGACAATTAATTATATACGATATATATATTGCGACTATGTATTGTTGATTTTAATAGTGTCATTATACATATTTATTTTATATCCTTTTCCCAAAGAAAGAAACAGGAAACTTTCTTTTGTATGATGGATTGTGTGGCAGTAGAGACATTCTTTGATGTAAACCTTCCACTGATGCAAAAATATAAGGTCTTCCTGCAGAACTCCAAGATTAAAACACTCAAATATGCAGTTGGAACGTTTTCAAGCTAAAAACAGATTAAATTGCTTTATGCAGTCATTCTTACTTTAAGCTCCACTTCAGGGACTTCGCATCTATTAAGTGTAGACAACGGGGCATCCAAATCCTTATGATGATGGGAATTCCCCGATTTAGCAGACTGGTAAGACTGAGCCGAGGGTCATCCTCTTAAGGTTGAGGTTTAATCATTGATCCTTTGACAGGGCACGCATTTTTGCAACATTAATTTTGTTTCACCATCCCGTTACACTGCAGCAGTGCCTGTTTTTGTATTTAATCAACCATTTACAGACACATGATGTTAGAAAATGCATTATTTTGTTGCTATAAGCTTCAGAGCTATGCTTGTTATACATAGTAAGGAATAAATCATTTGCTGACCCCCTCATGAACCCAGTCCACCATGGCCATGTAACAAAAGTCAGTTTTCTGTCCAAAATAAGACATGGACTATGTATATCCCCCATAAATAAAATACATTTCTCAGTTACTTTTTATTGAATCAGATAATAAAAATGCAAATAATGCACAGTTGCAGTTCATTTTTACTGTTTTTATTGATGATTAAAATAGAAACTGAAATAAGCTATTTTGCTTTGCTTAATAAAACCCTTTAAAGTTATTTGATGTGTATGTAAGTACTAGGCAAAGGTTAGAAAATCCTAATTTTTCTCTCAACATTTTAAAAATTTTCTTAAAGTGCATTTAATGTTAGATTAGAACTAGAAAGATGCCAAGAATGTGAAATAAATACCTGAAGCAAAATGTGTTTAATACAAACAAAAATAATTTAACACAATTTAATGGATATTACATTGGTATAAACTGTAAATGCCTTCCTCAATGAAGAAAAAAACAGAAAATAAACAAAAACCAGAGAATTTGATGCTGTATTTAGTTGTTGGCAGAAACTATTTAACTGTTCCCAACTTTGTGTGACTACATGTACCTTTTCAACTGTGTCTTGCTCTCATTTTAGATTGTTGTATTAAACTTTTTGCTGGATTTTACCTCATTTTGTAGCTGCCAGAATATCGGTAGGTTCTGGATTCAAACAAGGGTGCTAGATATCAGTATGACCTAATAATGTGTTAATTGCATACATCTTTACCTAAGTGTGATGCTCAGAAGAAATATGAATTTCTCTGAATATTTATCAGAGTTTCTGGACTATGCTTGTTTTTTGTTGTTGTTTGTTTGTTTTGGATTTCTAAATAGGTAAAATGGTGTTAAAGCAGTCCAGGACCGGTTGGCTTTAAATACTTACAGTATTTCTGTAATATGAACTTCCCCTTTATTTAATAGAGCAACTGCATGTAACAGGTCCAGCCAGGGGATTGCTTCTTGGTACAAAAATATATGGTCTAGATTCTTGGTCTTTTCTATTTTGGCAAATCTGGTTAATGAAAGTAATAGAATCCATTTTCAACACATACAGTTTAATTGAAATTAGGCAACTCTTTTTTTTAATTTTAAGATGGCTTCAGAGTGGTTAAATAGTATCACCTCATGACTCTATCCTTTGAATCTGCAGGTTCTTGAGGTAGTTGAGATTAAAAACTAAGTCAAGGCCAAATCATTGAAAATATTCATGGCTGTATGTATTTTTCTTTGCATTGAATTATATGCTTTCTCATGTTCATCTAATTTGAGATAAAATTTGAGAGATCTTCAAACAGGAATCACAGCTGTTGTGCCAATATTTTGACAAATGTTGGAGCCAGATAAACAGAATTCATTCCCTCCTTGGTCCTGATATTTTCTCCTGGCACAACCCTGGTCTCGACTACTGGATTGAGATGTACCTTTTGAGAAGGTTTTGGTCTGCTTCCAAAAGGCTGTGGTGCTCTATGCTTTTGGATAATACTAGCATTGAATGCAGCACTGAAATCACATACCTATCCGCCTTCTGTTGCTCAGTAACGCTGCTGTCAACATGTTGTGGGCTCCTTCGGCTCACAGGACACATTAAATTATGCACTTGAGAGATTAGAAATAAAACATCTCAAAATCTGTGGAGAATGAACTGCTCTTCACATTCAACATGAACTTGCAGCTGTAATAGCAGCACAAAGGTGCAATGCCAAATTGCCATATACTTTCCTTCATTATCAGTCTGTGCTATGTCTCAGTGTGCAATGATCCTCTCACAGACGTCGCTTTTTTTTTTTTTTTTTTTTACAAGTTATGTTAGTTGCAAAAAGTAAGACATGAAAGCAACAGCACCATTGCACATGTTACAAAGAATGAAATAGAAGGTCATTATTTTCATTTAAATTCATATTTGGATATCAAGTTCTATACAAACATACAAACAAAGAAAGAGACCATCCTAAAAAAAATTCAAAATATTATGTTACTTTAAAAGACAAATAAAATCCAATATTGAATGTATTTTGAATGTGAAAACATATTAACTTTTCAGTACTCTATTGAAATTAACCTGATGTACTAATGTGCATTGTACAAATAACTATATGAATTTGGTGTGATAAATTTATGAGAAAATGCTACCAGATCAAAAAAAAAAAAAAAAAGAAGGAAAATACAGAAATATATACAAATCAACAGTATACACACTTACTGTCATACTATATATCTGAATGTCTAAAGTAGTCAAGTTACATCCACTATCAAAAGTTGAAAGAACTTTCTTATATATTGAGCCACACAATCAAAAAAGAATAACACTTAGTATAATTGTTTTTTTGCCATAAATATGGTTCCCAAATCCTCTATGTTACTAAATTTTCCTGAGTTTAATCAGTCTTTTAAAGAGCTAAAGACAACTTATTGGATTTCTTTAAATATTTGTTTGAAATTAAGGAACAGTACTGAATTACTTATTATAATCAAGTCCATAATTTATTCTACTTGCATACTTACGCTTGAATAATGTCTTAATGAAATAACATTCTGCTTCTGACTGGAAGCAAAGTTATTGTTTTTGTTTTTTTTGGCGGTGACCAGACCATGATCAAGCCTCGACTCTGATGGAGCATCTTTGGGAACTACAGAGTAGGACAGTGGCAGCAGGCCACCGCTCAGCACATCATGTCTTAAGTGCTATTTTCTGTTAAGATGTACAGAAAAGCAACACTTATATTTTCAAAATTCCCATCGTTTTAACATTTCAACATCTTTTCATAGTCTGCCTTTTCTGAAAGAATATGAATAACCGTAAGCCTTACTGTATGGATTCATAAAACAGAAAACCTACATTTTCTAACATTATACTTGGAAAAATTGCAGGATGCCAATTAGAGGTTTTCATCTATGTTTAGAGCCTTCAAGTTGTTTCACGTGGTGAGGTTACTGTTTAACTATGAAAAAAAATTCTGTAAAAGGACAAAAAAACAAAAGGGGAGCATTTTTCATTAGTTTTGAAGTAAGATAATATTCTGATTTAAAGTTAAGATGGGATAAATATGGTTAGACAAAATAGAATAGAAGAATCCTCTAGGTTTAGCCTTTGATGTGTCAATCCATTTAAATCAGAATGATCTCTGAATTATTTATTTTCACACAGAGGAGCTGCAACACCCTGCCAGGGTGGTTTTATACAAGGTCTTTTAATGTTCTGACACATATACCCATTATTATGATTTTCATATGACATCTCCTGTAAAGATAAAGGCAGACCTCAGGAGACAATCGTGTTTTATACAAGGTCTTTTAATGTTCTGACACATATACCCATTATTATGATTTTCATATGACATCTCCTGTAAAGATAAAGGCAGACCTCAGGAGACAATCGTGCTGTTACTTGTCTTCACAGCTTTTTTTTGTTACAGATCTCAAATTACCCTAAGGTCTGCAAAACAGTCAATTTTTCAGAAAATTCAGAACAACCAGGAAACCATCATGATTTGTAAAAAATTAGGATCTTGATCAGAATCTTAATCTGTATCTCAAAGATAACGACTTACGTTGTTAAGTATCAGGGAAAATCAATATAAAATATTGGAATGTATTGATGTTTTATCAGCATGATTTTCTGAATTAGAATCTGCTATCCATCAAAGTGACTTATGTATTTGTACATTCATACACAAGTATTTACAGCTTCTTACATACACTATAAGAAGAAACAAACTTCCCATTTTTTTTTTACCATTGCTTCAGGCATTTTTTTTCAGGTATCAATGATTTATTCATAACTTATTAGTAAAGATTAATGACATTTCCTGAAGGATTTTTTATTTTTCAAAAGTTTTGGTGTACCTTATTCTGTTGTGGAAAACTTGGCAGCTCTGATGACTAATTACCAAAGCACAACCTTTGCAAGCAACTATAGTTAATATATCTAAAATATAAATCTGAAGAGCAAAAACAAACATATCTAAAGAATGTTTATATGTGAATTAACTTAAGAGATAGCAGACAAGTCTAGCAATCTAAAGATTCAGTAAATAGTCTCTTGTCTTTTTCTAGGTACTTTTACAGATACATAAACATGTCCCTTCTCAAAACCTTATACATTTAACTGTCCTCTGTCTTCTCAGCTAACATTTTCAACTTCATCAATCAAAATCTGGTCTATTGTGTCCAGTCCAGTTGGGATGACAGAAGCTGTTGGGGAATATTTGAACACTGCCATGTTGAAATGTGCACCAGATCAGGCTCTGTTTGGAACCTTTCTTTGCAGCCCATTTAGTTAACATTTTGGATAAAATGTTGTTTTGTTCTACTTTCTGTTATCATAGGGTGCAAAGTCTTTTCCAGACAGGAGGTTTATGTTTTCTGTTTGACTGAGTTTAATATACTGTATTTGACAAGGCAAGCTCAGTTCTGCTGAAGATGATTAAAAGCCTAAATCAAAATTTTGCAGGATTGCTGCACCAAGTCAACCACAGGAAGCTTTAGACTTTTGGCCAGTTCAGTGTGTGGGTCCCCCCAGGCTGGATGTGTGAGTCAAGCTCCTCATACTGCTGCCGTTTTTGATGTCGAACGTGGAGGAGCCTCTCTTGTGCCTGCACTCCTGATTGCATTGGCAGGATGAGTCTGCAACATAGTTTCTGCAGCAGCAGCAGAAGCTCTTTATCAGGTCATGGAACAGGTGACCGGCAAAGAGCATATAGATCCAGGGATTACAGCAGCTGTTAAGGCTAGCAAGCAACATGGAGATGATGAAGGCCATGTCTATAAAGAGAGAAAAATAATGTCAAAGTTAATTAAAAGGAAAAGCATCTTAAAGAATAAACCTAAAAATTTAAGTAAAATAACAAAACAGGAACACTGAAACTTGTATATTACGTAGTGTTATCAATGTCTGGATGGTAAAACATTATACAGCCAAGTATAGGATAAGTGCATCTCTAACATTAGTTCAGTTGCTTTATGTTTTGTGGTAGAAAATGCAGTGAGTTATGCCTGGACAGCAAGGGTAATATTTAGCAAATTATACCCCTTGTTTATATTCTGTTGGCACCTTATGACTTGCTTGCCAGGTCGGGTTTTATGTGTTTCATTATCCTATGTGGTCTGGTAGCTTAGGTTAAAGCCACAAAAATATGGTGATGAGGTATCCTGGTTTCCAGGGGCAGTCCCCATTTTGGACGATCCATCCACGAATGAAGCTGTCTCCGATTTTAACATTTTATGATTAAGAAAATCATACAGATTACCGCTGGTAACAAGAGTAGAAAAGCAGAACATTTTTTGGTGTCTCCTCGATGGGTAGCTGCTGTCCTGTGATATGTTGCCTGGATCTATATTGTACATTTTTTTGTACTGGTTGTACTGGTTGATCCTTGCCTCAATCAAGCAGAAATGGTTTGATTGAAACATTGACATTTAGTTTATATTTCAGAACTAATTTTCAATGGTTTTGATCAATTATCATTGGGATTTACAAACACTGAATGTTTTTCTACCTGGTATGGATATATGTCAGTTCCTCATTAAAAATAAACACAAGGGTAGGCTTAAAACTTTCCATTTTGATAGCGCTTATAGGGGATTAGGTTATCCTGAGCTATCTCTATAGCTATGCTGCTAAAAGCTTAGAGTGGTGGTTGACAAAGGGACCCCTTTTCATCATTCTGCGTCAGTCTATCTCTATTCTCTAATTCAGCAGAATTTCTCAATCCTCTAACTTTATGCTCTTTTTGCTTTTTCTGATCATGGCAGCTTCATCTGGTCTGTTCCTGTTTGGCTGTGACACCATCTTGGAGAGAAATATCAGCTCTGCTGCTGCCATCAACACCTTTGTTTATAGAAGTTGGCCTGTTTTTCAGTCTAGTCCTGTTTCTCTTACTATGACTTACTGTAAGAGCCCTCTTTCATACTCTGATGTTGGAAGTGGTTCTGAGCACGTCTGCCTGGCTGTGTCTTTCGTGGAAGGGTTTGCCTATGGGGCCGGTTGACAGTTGCCTTTTGTATCTTTGTTTTTTTTTTTGCATATCTGCTTTTGTCTCCTTGCACCCCAATCAGCCTCGGCAGATGGCTGCTTACACTGAGCCTGGTTGTGCTGGAGATTTTTTCCTGTTAAAAGTGAGTTTTCCTCTCCACAGTCAATACAAGCGTACTTGGTGTGAGGGATTGCCTTTGAGTAAATGAGTCGATGTAGTCGTCTGATTTTCTTTAGATATAAACTTTGAATCTATCTATCTATCTATCTATCTATCTATCTATCTATCTATCTATCTATCTATCTATCTATCTATCTATCTATCTATCTATCTATCTATCTATCTATCTATCTATCTATCTATCTATCTATCTATCTATCTATCTATCTATCTATCTATCTACTGTATTGTATTGCACACACACACACACACACACATCCACAAACATATATATATATATATATATATATATATATATATATATATATATATATATATATATATATATATATATATATATATATATATATATATATATATTAGTGCTGTCAAAATTATCGCGTTATTTTTCGCCATTTTAACGGCGATAATTTTTTTAACGTGAGATTAACGCTATGTGGTTTTATGGTACAATTTTCCAAGTACATCCCGCTGCAGCCTGCGGGAAGGCGGGGCTATTTTCCCCCAGTCTATGCATTTCTCATAGGCTTCGAGAGCGGACCTCCTCAAGGGAAAAAGACGCTCATACACTGGGTGACGCTAGTGCCTTTTCTTTAAGCCCCACCACCAACAAACAAGTTGAGTGTCTGGTAACTAGTAGCAACCTGAAATACGCTGAGAAAACAGATTACTGAGGTGAAATGGAATCTGCTACGGCACTCTTGCCGTCTGTGTACGCAACAGGTCGGTATCGCGCGTGTGTGTGTGTGTGTGTGTGTGTGTGTGTGTGGGTGAGTGTGTCTGTGTGTGGGTGGGTGGGTGTGTGTGTGTTCTCATTTTTGTTAAGAGGCTGAAAAGTAACTTTCTAGAGTATAGACTACCTTCATCTAGTGATGTCGGTCTATTGATTTTGATGTATTGATTGAAAATTGTTCATTATTATCTTGGTTAATTAACATCTAATGTTAACTCTACTAAATTTTATAGCAGTAGGGTAAAATGCTTGTCTTTGTTCAAAAGACTGTATTAACTGTAAAGACTGTCTTTTACATCAGCCTGTTTTCAGGGCCTTTTTTTTGCCTACGTATTTGTTATTTTTGGCATAAATCAGTATCTGTGACCTGTTTTCATTTTAAAAAAAGAACATTGGCACAAACCTAGCCTGTATGTATTTTTTTGTATGTCATCGAGAGTATTTAAATGATTTTCAATCAGGAAAAAAATGTGCGATTAAAATGCAATTAATCGCGAGTTAACTCAGGCATTGATGCGATTAATCGCGATTAAAAAAATTTAATCGATTGACAGCACTAATATATATATATATATATATATATATATATATATATATATATATATATATATATATATATATATATATATATATATATATATATATATATATATATTGTTGAGTTTTTATTAAACTAAATATTTTACAAATATAATAAAAAAACAAAAATATTTTTAGGGAAAACTATTTAAATGTATTAAACTTAAACTCATTGATAACCTTGATGCAGATGATTTAAGGCCACTATTCCACATGCACAAAGAGACTCTCGAGCCCATCTGGAACTTTAATGCTGCACTTATATAATCTCTTCATCAGTTAAGTATTTCTCAAATAGTTTCACCAGTTTTTCATTTAATGTCTTATCAAAAGAATGTGAGCAGCAAATGAAGCAGCCAAGTGTGCAACATTATTCTATTCTAAGAGACCCATGAAACTGTCTCAAAAAGAGGGTGGAGGGGGAGGAAATGTACTTGCTTGGTCTGCTCCACATTACAAGATGAGCTTACATACCATCCTAAATGAGGCAGAGAAAGGCAGCTCTGATTAGTTTAAAACAAACTAAACAGTTAAACAACAGGGAGCTCCCTCAGAGTTGATGGGAAGATGGATGCAGGTAAGCAGAGGACAGGTCATGAAGAAAAATGTGCTAAAAGCATGAATGGCTTGGGACAGGGATGCAGTTTCACCTTCCAGCATCGCAAACACTAACCATATAGCCAGAGGTTCAATTTACTTTATAAATGATCCCTCACACCCCAGCCACAAACTATTGCAGTCACTTCCCTCTAGCAGGAGGCTACAATCCATCAGGACCAAAACCTTATGCCACAAGAACAGTTTCTTCCCATCCGCTATCAGCCTGATCAACAAGGCCCAGAGACCCCCATGACACTGACACTGCCTCTCTCGCTCCCCCATTCAGGATCTAAAAGCTACTCCTATGTAGCATCTGCAGGCGTCCTGCATTACATTAACGCACAGCCTACTGTGTATATAGCATATAGCTATAAACTATATTGTATGTTTTTATATTGTATATAGCTATAAATTCTGTATTCTGTAGATGTATATAATTTGTCTGCATCATCAACACCAAGTCAAATTCCTTGTAAATGTCAACCTACTTGGCAATAAACTTGATACTGATTCTGAAATAAAGAGCTGATTTCAAATCTCAGTCCAATTTTATGTTTCTTCAAAAAAAAAGAAAAAAAAACACAATATAATACACTGAGGTTTGTCGTTGTAAGCTGACAAAAGTCCCAAAAGCTGTGAATGCTTTTAAAAAGAACTGAAAGGCTGAAATTAATTATTGGTTTTAAATTTCATTCTCCAACACTTTTTCTAATTCTTTTGCTTGTGATGCAATGTTTTTTTTTTTTTTTATATATATATATAAGTAAATATGTTATATTTCAGTGTATTTGATTTAACAATAACTTTTAAGATTAGATTTCATGGGGCAAACATGTATTGGGAGGAGGCTTACAATGAAACCAGGCCATTTTTATCTACTCATTTCACATATAGTTTTTTTTTTTTTGGGGGGGGGGACTGAAATCACTTTTAATTTACAAATCCTGGAGCTCCTGTGTCAGAAACCCTTATAAACATTTAGTGGTAATAAAAACATAAGAGGTTACCGGTAATGTTGAGGCCGAATAGAAGATAATTGAGCTGACAAAGAGATATGAAATGGGTTTTTAAAGGAGGAAGCCTTGTAAAGGAATAAAACGCACCTTATTTTGCCATCCACTCAGCCGATTAAATTTCTAGCTGCAAAACACATTGAGGAAAAAGGTAGCCTGAACAGTGGAAAGTGGAGGACTTCCAAGTATTTTTTTTCCTTTTCTAAATCGATAATGAGGGGGGGGAAGATTTAGTACTTATTGTCTTCTTCACTCCTTAAGTGCTGAGCCGCTTTTTTTTGCCTGACTCCCTACAGGACTGGGTTTTTTTGCTCTGTGCAGCATAAAAAAAATTATTTTTTTTTTTTAAGAGCTGAAGGACTTGTTTGGTGAGAATGTCACAAAAATATGAAACACAGTTGTTTTAAAATCAGCTTTCTGGAAAATACAATCTTATTTATTTTTTAATGTTCTTAATTATAGTAAATTAACAAAAACTTTATAAACTTTTTTTATTATCCTGATCCATTTAACAACAACTTGGTGAAGTAAAACGGAGTACCGGTATATGTTTATTTAAAAAGAATTAAAACTAAATTTCATTTTTTCCTTTACAACAAACTAAGTTGAACATTGTAATGATTTTGGTTTTTCTCAGGGAAACTAAAAAAAAATACTTGGTTTTGTCTTTCACACATACACACA